CTTCGCCCTGCCCCCCCCCCCCCCCCGGGCAAAGGCCATGTGTAAGTGACTCGAGTGTGTCTTTTTGGAGGATCTGCTGCGTAGGTTGTATTTGCGATGGGCAGAGCTCACCAGCTGGAAAAGGAGAGCTTGGGGCCGCCGTCTGTGGCCCGGAACGGGCACTTATTTATCCCCTGTAAATGCTTCTCTGGTTTAGAGCTGAAGCTTTCCCAGCTTGGTACTGCTGAGTTGTGAAGGAGGCCACGTCCTTCAAAGAGATTCCAGGCAGGTTGGCTCTTTCCGAGAAGGGACTCTATCATATTGCCACCCAACTTGCATCTAGTTCAGTCCAGCAACGTGTGGTGGAAAAACATAGGTTGTTGTTGTTTAGTCGTGTCTGACTCTTTGTGACCCCACAGACCGGAGCACGCCAGGCCCTCCTGCCTTCCACGGCCTCCCAGAGTTGGTTCAAGTTCATCTTGGTTGCTTCGATGACCCTGTCCAGCCATCTCGTCCTCTGTCGTCCCCTTCTCCTCTTGCCTTCACACTTTCCCAACATCAAGGTCTTTTCCAGGGAGTCTTCTCTTCTCATGAGATGGCCAAAGTACTGGAGCCTCAGCTTCAGCATCTGTCCTTCCAGTGAACGCTTGGGCTTGATTTCCTTCAGAACGGATAGGTTTGTTCTCCTTGCAATCCAGGGGACTCTCAAGAGCCTCCTCCAGCACCGCGATTCAAAAGCATCAATTCTTCGGCGGTCAGCCTTCTTTATGGTCCAGCTTTCATTTCCGCTGAAAGGCAGGGTAAAATTATTTTTAAAATAAAATGAAAGAAAGAAACAAACACCTGAACCAGAGGTTGGAAAAGCTTCGTTTTTGTACTGGAGTTACCAGAATGAGAGTTGGGAGTTTTGTAATCCATCAAGGTGGCCGGATCGCTCCGTGGTTCAGGGCACCCAGTTGCAGAGCCAGAGGGCTGGGAGTTCAATTCCCCATTTGGCCCTGCTTGATAGGGGCTGGATGTGATGATCCATAGGATATTTTCCAGCTCTGCAATTCTAAGCTGACGATTATTGAGCTTCTGGATACTCAGGGGTTTTATTCTCTGGCTGTAGAGCCAGAGGTTGGGAGTTCGATTCCCCCCCTGGGCCTCCCGTGGATACAGTCAGCCTGGGTAGCCTTGGGCCAGCTGCACAGTAGTCTCAGGGCTCCCCCGGGAACGGGAAAACCACTTCTGAGTATTCGCTGTAAAGGTTTGCCATAAGTCAGAATTAACTTGATGGATGATGATGATGATGATGATGATGATGATTAATTGAGTAACTTTCTCAACTTCTGATTAAAAATACGGGGAGGGCTCACCCGGCTTCTGTCTTCTGTTCTGCCCGCAGAGACGTCGGCAACGTGGTGGAGGCCTTGTATGGAGACCTTTCCCCTCCCATCATGCTGATCGGACACAGCATGGGGGGCGCCATTGCTGTCCACACGGCCGCTTCCAATCTGGTGCCCAGTTTGCTGGGTCTGTGCATGATCGACGTTGTGGAAGGTAAGCTGCTGTGCTCCCCACCCCTGGCCGTGGCTTCTTCTCTTCCTCCACCGTAAAGGTCGCCACGTGCCCAGTAGTCTAAGCCTCGACTTACCCGGGGGGGGGCTGCAAAGGGGTTGGAACTACAACCCCCATCCTCCTCAGCTGAGCTAGCCTAGTGCACTACCATCCACAGAGCCCCAGTGATGGCAGAGAGAGGCTGAATGTGTACCTTCAGGGTTTTAGGCATCCTTTGGAAAGCACTTTAAAATCAAGCGGACTGAAAACACCCAGGCAGGTGGGCCACCACTTACACGAATGTTTGATATTCCAGGATTATGTTTAAGAAACAGTGGCACGAAGTTGGGAGGGTCTCTCTAAGAATGGTTGAAGCAGGACGTGTGTCCCAAAGGAAAAAAGAGGCAGAAAAACAGACCAGCCACAGAAAAGCAGTCCGTTCTGTTCTGAAGAGCCGCACTTTAAAAGCACAGTCTGGCCCCGTTGTCACAGCCTTGTAAACGGCTTCTTCCTCCTTCGGCTCTCGGGGTTCATAAACTGGCACCGAACCGTAATTTGGCTGCGACTTTTCCTATTCCATGCACTTCTTCGAAGAGCCGCACTTTAAAAGCACGGTCTGGCCCCGTTGTCACAGCCTTGTGAACGGCTTCTTCCTCCTTTGGCTCTCGGGGTTCATAAACTAGCACCGAACCGTCATTTGGCTGCGACTTTTCCTATTCCATGCACTTCTTTTTCTTCAGCTGTGTAAAACCCGTTTGGTTGGTTAATCCTCAGTTTTAACACTCACTTCAGAATCATAGAACAAGACTTGTTAAAACTCCGGATCCCTAGAGCCTGTTTGGGGTTCAGCGGAAAACTCTTCACCCCTCTAAACCAGTGGTTTAGAGGGGTGAAGGCTGTGACAATGGGCCAGCCTTGGGTCACCCTGGATGTTCTTGGACTACAAGTCCTAGAAGCCTTCACCACCCGCTGTGCTGGCCAGGGGTTCTGGGAGTTGTAGTCCAAGAACACCTGGGTGACCCAAATCCAAATGATTCCTAAATGGCATTTGCTCTAGCATAGTCTAACACTAGTCTAACCTTTGGTCTAGATACACGGGGTATAAATCTAATAAAATAAATAAAAATAAATAAACACATTTTCCTCCGTGTCTCCCAACTAGTCCAAGCCCGATCTCTCTCTGTCTCTCTCTCTCTCTCTCTCTCTCTCTTGAGTATCCAGTCGAAAGGGTGGATCTGGAGTCCTGCCGAAATCACAAGCGAAATTGATGAGGTTTTTATGACCTGCTTTTAATGACCAAGCGGCTCTTTGAATGGCAAACACACAGGGCAGAGGCTCATAGCTATACACAGGTTTTGTTTCCCAGGGTCTCTCTTTTCTTTCACACCAGAGGCCCAAGCTTTCCATGTAAACTGAGATTATTTCTGCCCTTAAATCATGAGGACTAGAAGCTCCTTGGATTTATTTGTTTTACTAGGCCTCCACCCGAGAGGACCAAGACTGTTGAGTTCTCAGCGCCTCCTCTCTTTTATCCCAGCGATACGGATTCCTACCTCCCCACTCCTTAAGTGGAGGTTCTCGGAATACTTAGGGTGCTTGATTCCTGGCCCTCCCCTTCCTCTTGGTTGTTTGTAGGTACAGCGATGGACGCCTTGAACAGCATGCAGAATTTTCTCCGAAGTCGGCCCAAGACCTTCAAATCTCTTGAGAACGCCATCGAGTGGAGGTAAACTAGAACCCAGCGTGTTCGTACAACTCATTGCTAGAGACTTGCTTGTTGCGATTATTTGAAGCATCTCCTTGGCTGAATCATCATCATTCTCAGTGGGATGCTGCCCGCCATCTTGAGTTTTCTGATAGAAAAAAGATGGGCGTCTAAACGTGCTAACGACACAAGCCGTGCTAGAAAGCAGAACGTTAGGTAACGGACACGTCTCTGAAGGCTGATTTTCTCTCTCTCTCTCTCTCTCTCTTTCCTTTTATTCACCTCTCTCTCTAGTGTGAAAAGTGGACAGATACGGAATCTTGAATCTGCCAGAGTCTCCATGGTTGGCCAAGTGAAACAGTAGGTTGTGTCCTTGAAGCCCGCCCACTTCTTCCCTTTGACAACTTGGGGTGTGTGTGAGAGAGGCAGCCATCCTGGAGGGAGGGAGAAGAAGTCACAATGGCGGTTTTGGTTGCACCAAAGTTGATGTCTTGACTTCCTTTGCAGCTTCTGTCAACACTCTTGGAAACTCGGGTTGGGTTGGGTTGGGTTGAGTTGAGTTGAGTTGAGTTGGGGATCCCGATCCTTTGCAGGGGGCCTTCAAGAGAAATTTAGACAACCATCTGCCCAATCTCCTTCAGTTTGGATTCCTTCCAGTCACACAGTGAGATTTTAAAAAAACACAACACAACTTATAGTACATCCAGATGGGCAAATAGCTGTTGTACTGTGTCACTTTATTCATCAACCGCAACAAGGAGAAGGTGGTTGTGTTCTGCTGAATGGCAGCCGTAGGGAAGGGGAAGGAAAGGTCATTAATCAAAAGGGGACACATAGGTGAGATCTAAAGTCTTGTACGGACCCGCCTTACCTGGGGGAACAATGTTGATCGGTGTGAACAGAAAGGATCACTCAAGAGATAAAGTAGATCACACTCAAGATAAGAACCTTCTCAGTGCAAACCAGACTGCTCTGACTTTCCCTGTCTTTGACAGATGCTTAGTACTCCTTTATTTTCTTTATAATGTTCATCTTAAGGGAAAAGCCAGGGTGTGGTTTAAAAAAACAAAGCTTGCAAATGTAGTGTTTTGGCATGCAGCACCCAGAATATCAGCGGCCAACCCTGTCTGGTGTAATCTGACTGTCGTGGTTCTAAAAAAAGTCACTTTTCCAAGGGCTGATTTAGAAATGGAATCTAATCTCCATAAATAACGCTGGAAAGAATAGATTCCGGGAGTTGAGGCAAGCCGCACGAACTGCTTTCCTGTCCAGCCGTGGCTCCCAACCTGGAGTAACCCAGGTATTCTTGGAGTGCAACTCCCAGAACCACCGGCTAGGATAGCTGGCAGTGAAGGCTTCTGGGAATTGTAGTCCAAAGTTGGGAAATACGGCTGTATGGCATACTATTTATACCTGATTCTAGGATCTCCTGTCACCCTCTTAAGCCTTACCAAGCCCGTAACCCCTGAAGGTAGTATGGAATGGTAGAGAGGGCGAAGGGGCCGATAATCTATGCCTCCTTTTTCTTTCCTTTCCTTTCCTGAAAATTGAAAACAGGTGCGAAGGAGTGGCCAGTCCTGGAGCCCGCAAAGCCATAGTAGAAGGGATTATAGAGGAGGAGGAAGAGGAGGAGGAGGAAGACGGGGAAAACGGGGAGTCGGTGAACAAAAGGAAGAAAGACGATGATGTGGAGGTGAGGGCCTTTGCCAGGAACGTGGGATCTTTGGGGGGGGTCTTCATCGTGTGTTGGAGAAGAAGGATGTGAGTCTCTCCACATATGAGTCTTTCCCAATATTGGGGGGGGTGTCTTTGAGATGCGGTGTTTACTGGATGACTTCCTGGAATTGGACATCTTCAGATGAGTAGCTGCCTTAGGCGGTTTTAGCAAAACAAAAAAACAAAACAGGATTTGGGGAATAGAACCCAAGACCTAGAAGTAAAGACTGAAGGAACTAGACATGTTTAACCTTGAGAACAGAAGACCAAACCTAGATAAAATAGTGCAATCTTCAAAGAGTTGAAAGGTCGTCGTACAGAGAAGGGGCAGAATCTGTTCCCGATCACCCCTGAGTTCAAGACAAGTCATCATGAGGTCAAATTACAGGAAACCAGATTTTGGTTGAAACTCAGGAAAAGCTTCCTAACTGTTAGAGCAGTAGGACGATGGAATCCATGACTGCAGGACGTGGAGAGCGCGCCAACGCTGGAGGGCTTCAAGAGGAAGCTGGACCATCATTCCGTCACATCTGCTTGGATTGGGATTCCTGCTTTGAGCAGAGGGTTGGACTCCAGGGGCCCCTTCCAATTCTATGATTCCGTGGTTCTTATGGCCCCTTCAAGACGGTCAAATGCTATTTGGCATAAGCTTTTGTTGACTATGAGATGGAGCAGTGAGCTACACTCCACAAAGGCATATGCCAGAAACCCCCAAATATTTGATATAATCTCCGGGCGTCACAAGGGTCTTTAAGGAAGCAGCTGTATTAGTTTGTGACGTCAAAGAGTCTCGCTACACTTCAAAGACGAGCACGTTCTATTTTCTGTAAGTTCTCGTGAACCGGAAGCTGCCTTATCCAGTGCTTCCGAATAACTTGGCAGCCGTCCATGAAAAGGTTATGTCAACTAAAGCATGTCTATGGCTGCTGCTTCTAAGAAATACATTCTGCTTCCACGGATGCTGGGCTGTGCAGTCTGTTGGATTTGGGGGTGGGTGAGGACTTCTGCCAGCTAATATGCTGAGATCTGCCGGCAGAAGGGACAGTTGGCAGAACAGCTCTGTCGGCAGACTGTTCCCTTGGCAGATCTAGGTTCTGCTGGCGAAAGTGCTAAAAAAGGGTGGAAAAGGGATGAAGCGAGGGAAGAACTGGGTTCCTCCCAGTCCAAATCATCTCTAGCCCAGTCACTAGTATGGTGCCACATGAAGCTATTGGGAGCGGAGAATGATCCTCCAGAAATTTCCACCCTCCTTAGCCTGAGTGGGGTTTGGTTTCAGCCCGGCTCAGCTGACCCGTGGATATTTTGACAAGGTAGGAGCATGCTTTTAGACCGTAACACAACACCTGGCAAATGGTACTCCTATTTTAATTTTTATATTAATTTTAATTGATTTTAATGTTTTAATTTTAGTTTAATTTAGCCCTCGTTTTCTTTTCTGGGATCTAGGCCAGTGTTTCTGTACATGGCCAGGGACTGTGGCATGCCAGTATGGCTGCTTCTGCCCTGCGAGGGTTAAACTAGACCTCTTCTGTCCTCTTCTGCAGCCCAAGAAAGATGTGGCCTACACGTGGCGCATTGAACTGGCCAAGACTGAGAAATACTGGGATGGCTGGTTCAGGGGCCTCTCCAACCTCTTCCTCGGTTGCTCTGTTCCTAAGCTGCTACTTTTGGCCGGTACGTGTGTTCCCCCTTTTTTAGCACATTTACGTTAGCCAAGGGAAGAAATCATTGGTACGTGTGTTCCCCTTTTCCCTGCTTCTTGTAATGCTCTCTGGTTCCCCTCTTTTACTCATTCGTAGGGATGGGGTGAGTGTTTGCTTTTTTAAATCGAAATAAGCCTTCTTGATTTTTCTTCGTGTGCTGCCGGATTGGTGAATACTGCAGGGTAGTCTTGGGCCATAAAACCGCAAACATGTTGTTCAAGTAGTAACAAGAACAGAAATACAGCGGATTTCAGTGTACAGTGTTGGAGGGGTCACCCCCCCAGCTGGTTCAGCGCTATCCATCCATGGCCTGTACACAGGTGTCATGTCTACTGCAAGATGAAGCTAATTGCCAATAGATTGTTATGTGTAGGTTCTAGATCCATAGTTCTCAGTAGACCTCAGATATTCTTGGATGGGCAGCACTGCTAATAGTGAAGACTGGCAAGAACCACCGTCGTAGATCAAAGCAAGCCTAAACTCTCAACAGAAACTAAGATGGCTTAACTGACTTTACCTTACTGTGGACATTGCACGTGAAGACAGGACTCATTGGGAAAGGCAGTGGCCTGAATCCTGTTGTTGGCATCTGCCAGCATAGCTTTTCAATGGCAAGTCCTTATATCCATCTGCTTATGCATGCCAGTCCTGTGACTTAGTGGCTGACATCCTGTTGCTTATAGTAAGTCACAATTAAAGTAAGCCCATTGAATCAGTGAGGATTTGGTGAGTCAGCAGCGCTCTAAATTCAGTTGATTTGATGTTGTCTTGCTGTGGTTCCCACTTACTATGCTATGCAACAGGATTTCACCCTATGCGTCTGCGCAAACGCCTGCACCTGCTTCCAAACTCCTGGCCATTTGCCACTGGAAGTGACGCTGATGGAATTATGCTGGCATAAGTATGCAATAGGATCTCCAACCTTTAGTGCTAGAAAAAGTGAAAGAACTTGTCAGTGTGGAGCAGTTTTTAGCAGCGTCTGTTCCAAAAGCTCCTTGTTCCGGTCCCAGCAGTCAAGAAAATTAGGCAGAGACAACAGATTTCTAGCAACTAAGTCTATTTACAAATATATGCAGCAGCAACAGCATTACAGTCCACAAACATTTACGTTAGCCAAGGGAAGAAATCATTGCACAGTGTCTATATCTACTACCACTGTCCAGATTTTGGTTCAAAGAAGTGGGATTTGCCCATGAAAACTTTCCTATTATATGATTTTTAATTTTTTAAAATTAGGGATCTATAAAGGTATTGCCTATTGTCTGCGCTTACATTTGGGAGGGGGGGAATAAGTTGCCCCAAAACTTCTAAGTAGACATGGGCGATTCGTATTTGTACCCTTGGGGATATGAATGTGAATAGTGGCATCACAGGTTTCACGGAAGTCCCTTCTCTCCCCGCCCAAGAACGGGCTGTTCCACTTATCACTTGCTGGCCAAAGCTGGGGCCCTTTGTCATCATCATGGGGCCA